AAAGGGAATTTACTAGGGGGGTTTTTTATTTTTCCCTTTAAATAAAGGAATTTTAGGAAAATTTAGGTAGGGGAGCAAAAATTTAAATTATATTTAAAATTTTTTAATTAATAAGTTAGTGAATTTCTCGGGAGGCTTAACTCGATATTAGCTATTAGAACTATAGCCTAATATCTACTACTAGGAAAAAATATTATTTTAGTTAGGTACTACTAGAGGTAGACTCTATATATCTATAAGGTCTTCTAACTAGGGAGATATTAAATCTTTCTAGTAGTCCTGCTTTATATTCTATAGTTAAGCTATAGTTAAGCTAGATAAAGAAGTGTAGTAGGCATATTATAACCTATTCCTAACATGTTCCTAATATATTCTAGGCGTTAATTATCTATAAGGGTAAGGATCTCTATTTAAAATCCTATATAAAGTTACCTTTTAAGTAATTATACTAATAGATATAGTAGTAATACCTTTTTTTACTATTATTTCTTTTAGTATATATATATATATACCTCCTCCTCCCTTAATACTATCTAATAGTAATATTAAGGAAGTAGTAAAGGTGTTATAGCCTATACTTACTCTGCAGCTTATATAATATAAGTTATTTATAACCTGTTATAAATATATTCCTAACTTATTATAGCCTAGTTCCTAAACTTAACCTAGCTCTAAACCTATCTCTAACTTAAAGGTTTCTATTCTATTAAAGAAATATATATTAGCTTTATAAATAAAGATAAAATCTTACGTATTATAAAGCGTAAAAAGCTTCTATAGTTCCTATTTAAGAGTAGCCTTAGAGAAGTATACTATAAGTAGAGGATAAAGTATTAGGATCCTAAAACTATATATAGTGTAAGAGAATAGGTTTAGAATATATTACTAATATATTACTATAGGCGTATATATAGTAAATCTTTATATTAAGCTTAGGTAACTTAATTATTTACTTTTTTAAAGAGTAGGTATTAATTCTATTAGATTAAGATATATTCTAGATAGATATATTATATAAGAGGTTATATAGGGTATAGGTAGAGATTCTAATAGTAATCTTCTACCTATAGGAAAAGAAGCGTATATATTAAGAATAGGTTTATAACATGTTTCTAACACATTATAGTTATTATACTTAGCTAAATTATTATAGATAAGGATATAACTAAGATATATTAAGTTACTATTACTAACTTCTTTTAGAAGTGTAAAGCACTTATAAAAAGATAAGTATTATAGAGGTATATTTACTTATAGGGATTCTATAGGACTACTATTAATATATATAATAAGTAGATAATAGGTAAGTTTTATAGCGCACTATAACCTATTTATAACGTGTTTCTAACTTGTTTCTAGGACTTAGGCGCTATCTCTAGTTAATTAATCCCTACAAGTATAACTAGTGCTAGCAACTTTAATCTTGTATAAGATTTTGTTAAGTACATCTATAAAGAAGTATTTATAAAGCATGTAAAAGAGAGCTAGATAATTAGATAATAATAAAGCAAGTCTTGCTATATCTAACTTAACTAGATATGTCTTAGTCCTAATAAGAAATAAAAGAGCACGCTTAAAAGCCTAAAGCTAGAGGGCAAGTAGTAGAGTGGTATTAGAAAGAAGTTTACTAGCCCCTTTTCTATCTTCTCTACTACTAGGCTCTTCTCCTCTACTAATAGCAACCTAAAGGTATGCTTTGCGAAACACGTTTATAACATATTCCTAACTTATTATTAGTTTATAACTATAAACTTTATAATAAAAGGCTCTTTTTAGTAATTAGGCTCTAAAGGAGAGAAAAGAAAAGCTAGAGGTAGATAAGGAAGAACTTGTATAGAAAAAGGCACTATTTAAATTATAAAAGGTATAGTTTAAACTTAAGAAAGAGATAGCTACTTTTTATATAAGGTAGGGTTAGTCTATAAATATAGTAACTAGTTCCTAACTAGTTCTTAATATATTCTAGTCTATTATATAAGTATATATAAGTAGATAAATATATATTCTTTCTTCTTCTCTTTCTTCTTCTTTCTTCTTATACTCTACAAGAACTTTTTATATTTAAGAGTTTAATACTATTTTACTATCTATCTTTCTTAATATTATTAGATATAACTAGTTAATATAGTCTATAAAGATCTTTTAAAGTTAGTATATAATAGAATATATTAGGAATATGTTATAAACTTATTCTAATACTAAGTAGGATTTATACTAGTAATATATTAAGCTTAAGTTACTTCTATCTAATACTAGGGTATTCTCTCCTATAATATCCTACCTAAATAGTAGGTGTATAGTATTTCCTAGCGAGCTTTTCTACTAGGCTATTTAGGCTAGATTAGGGGTATAGGAACTTTATAGAATATATATATATATAAGTTAGAACATGTTTATAATATATTAATAACTATTTTAGTATTACTTCTCTAATAGAGGTAATCTTATCTACTACCTTAAAAGGTATTATCCTAAGGTTTAAATAGCCCTAGTAAACTATAGTAGAATTATAATATAAGGTATTATAGAAGTAAGGATCTTCTATAGAAGCTTAATAGTAAATGCTTAAGAATGTGTTCTAAACACGTTAATAATACGTTCTCTACTAGTAGAGTAGACTATACTAAGTGCCTCCTTTAAGGTTTAAGAACCCTCTAAGATAGCTAGTCTATAATAAGAAGTAGTAGCTAGAGTAGAGGCTAAAAAGAAAGTAAAGAGTAAAGAAGAGGAGTAAATAGTTACTCCCCTTTATACTATAAATAATATTTAGCAAAAGTAGTAAAAAGGAGATATAAGTCTAGTCTCTTAAAATATATTTAGAATATATTAATAATATATTATAGCTAGACACCTATAAATACTAGATTCTTCTTTAATCTAAGGGACTACTAGAGCTTTATAATACCTATAAAAGTAAAAAGAAAAAGTTATATACTATTAAAGGACCCTATAAAAGTAAATAGTACTTTACTTTTAGTAGATAGAAAAAAAAAAAGAAGAATAAAGAGTTTATTTTAGTAATTACTACTACCCCTTTAGGTTATATACTATTATATATTATTTATTAGAACCTATTCTTAATATATTCTTAATATATTCCTACTTATTACTATTATTATCTCCCTCCCCCTCTCTAGTATCTTCTCTATCCTCCCTAGGCTCTACAAAAGCATACTATAAGTAGAACTAGGTAGTATTCTAGTAGGAATTAGCAAGGTCCACACTAGCATCAAAGTAACAGTCTTAAAACACGTTAGGAACAGGTTAACAACATGTTGTGAACGACTTACTACGGCTAGGATGATCGCGAGCGCAGATAGCACAAGGAACCTAATAACCTTGAATCCTTAGCAGGGTAGATATAGTAACAAAGTTAAGCTGTAATAAGTTAGCAACGTGTTTTTAACAGGTTCTTGCAGGCTGTACCTTGTTGCTATTATAGCTACTGCGAGTCTTCTTCTAAATTATATTTAGGAGGGTATTAGCATTTGCAGGGGGGCCTATAGCAGCTGCTAGCTAGGCTTAGAGAACTTCTATAAAACACGTTAGCAACAAGTTTTGAACATATTCTAAATAACTTATAGTGAGGAGCGTTCTAGTAATTACGTATAACCTTTATGTAGAAGTCTATATGTATTAGCATAATAAGTTAAGAATAGGTTAATAATATGTTTACTCTTTGCCTCGCGGACCTCTCTTATAGAGGGCTAGCTAGTCTTCTTAACTCTACTAACCTTATAGTAGGCTATATTAAGCCTATAATCTTTTTTAGTATAGGTATATAGAGTGCCCCTAGTACCTAGAATAGCCTAAGAATATTAGAACCTATTTAGAATATATTTAGAACCTATTCTTACTTTATATAAGGTGCCCTTATTATTAATCTTAGTATAGTAGTAGCGCTCTCTACTCTCTATCTTAACTACCCTATTAGGGCTAACTATAGGCTATACCCTAATATTATCTAGGATATAGCTAAGGGTAAAGTACTATTAATAGTACTTCTATAACCTATTAAGAATATATTCTAAATATATTTTAATCTACTTATATAGGATATAAGGGATACGTTAGTAATAGGTATAGTAGTAGTAGCTTATAGTATTACTAGTATAGAATATATTTAGAATAGGTTTAGAATATATTATAAAATCTTATAGTATAATATTTAGTTAACCTTGCTTAGCTAGCTAGTAGAGCTTGGTATAGCCTAACCCTATACTAAATACAAGTTCACGCAGCGCTAATTCCATGGTTATATGAACTGCGCCCTCGGGATATGTTGTGTGGGGGGGAGGGGACTGCACGATAGAGGCGTATGCGAGTGCGATAAGCAGTGTGTGTATACTGGAATCTACCTAGCTTATATCTTATCAAGACGGATGGGACTTGCTATTCGGCCTTCGCTCTTTCTTTGATGCGTGTGGACTGGCTGGGGTCATGGGAAAGGGGTGGTCAGGTGCGCAGGAGGTGATGGCGTCATGGGACGCGGCCGGTGTGAGTCCGGAGGAGCCGAGGAGCCGCAGGGTAGGTTGGGCTTTGTCAGGCACAGTCGCATGTCTTGTTCACGAGGATGTGGTCGTCATGGCAAGGGGGGGGGGGGGGGAATGGGGGACGAGTGTTGTCTGATGGTGGATAGGCTTGGTGGGTTGGAAGGCGGATGGAGAAGATGGTTGATCTGAGCAGAGCATGATTGTAGGATAGGGAATAGCTAGACCCAGGCATTTCCACCAGCCAGTAACTAGGTGTCTGTCATGTGTGATGCCTATACCATGGCAGGGGATTGAGGCCTTGGTGGGGGCTATATAGGCGCTCTAGAGAGTACTGGCTACAGAAGGTGCACGGTGGGACAATCCATCTCTCTCCCTCTCTTTCATCGCAAGCCTTGTCCTGTCCTAGTCCTGTGTCGTGGTAGTGGCGATGGTGCAAAAAGAAACCCAAGAAATCCGAAAAAAACGCCCCGAGTTCACCATAGCCTCGCTGACCGAAGAGATAAGAGGAGGGGAGAAGAGGGTCCTGCTCAGTTGCGATGTCTGGGGATCAAACGATCAAC